CTAGCAGGCATGCGGCAATACTAAAAAAGCTCTGGCAAACAGGAGCAATCCTCATGTTACTCTGACGATGGAGGCAAGCGAGTGTCCGAAACGTCAGTCTCAGTATACTTCGGTCCATGTCATCGTACCTTCTTCGTCGTCTTCTTTGGAGGATGATGAAAACTAACAAGATATCTAGACCTCAAATCTTTAGACATACTGATATACAGAGATAAATGAATCTGATAACCTACTTTTGCCTTTGAGTCGAGTCTCTCGCACTCGATCATCCGCAGTGTCAGCTCGGAAGCTAATGCTTTCATTTTAATAGTCAGTTTTTGCGAGGTGTTCTGCTGGTCGTTTACGTGAACGGACAACTGTAGGGTGACTTCCCTGCAAAGCGAGGAGAGAAGAAAATTTGCAGATAGGAACAGACGTAACGGAATATGCAGTAAATAGTCAGGCGGCAGGATCGAAATCTAAGAAGGCACCCTAGATTCACTTGAGTTTGGCGTGATAGAAGTCTTTGCATGGAAAGACTACAATGACGGAAATGTTTCAGGCAGCCGCTGTAACACTATTTCTGTATGGTGCGTACTTGCACCGTCACATCAGCGACAGTCGCTCGCGTTTGGCCAGTGTCTGAAACTGAGAGACTCTGTATGGTGTTAGATTGATCACAGCTACGAATGCATACGAAGTGTCGCGTTCCAGGGGTTTCCATGGGAAAAGGAGGATATGGCACTCTCTGCCATATATCCAGGGCGTCTCAGAAGCGACTGGGCACATCGTTGTGAGACTTAGTGTTGGAATGAAAATAAATGACCGACTAACACTCAATGAGCAAGTTGGGGGGGTAGTAAATCACGCCCCTGCCCCCATTGTCCTTATAATTACACAGGTCAAACTGAACGCGTGCTCGGATCGCACTGTGCGATAGGACGACGAACTATTGCAAGTTGCTGCCCACAACTACGAAACGGGCCATGAGTTCAATTTCATAGCCGTCAAGATACTCGCCCACACAGGAAACAAGGCCAGCCGAGAATTGATTGAAGGCTGGTCCACGTATGGAAATTCAATCAATCACTCGGTGTATCGCTTTGTTGCTGACGTACAGAACCCTGCACAGTCACCCCAGATTTCCGTCGCTGATAACTGATTGACCTGCTCCCCCTATAAGAGTCACCTTCCATGTTGCTGCTGCCATATCCAGATATCCTGGAGCAGTTCGAAAGCTCAGAAGAGTAAACAAACG